ATGAATGTAAATTACATCACACACAAGTTCACCATCTCCCATTAAACAAAATGATACATTTTTCTTAACTCACTTTGTTAACCTTAATGAATTGGGAATGGAGTGCTTTGATAATTCAAAAATGTGTAGTAAATATTTTATATAGTTTAAGATTGAAGAATATAAATTACCTTGGCAGTAAGAACCATCATTAGGTGTGAACTGAGACTTCCCTGTGGCTGTCTGATAACCTTCCTTGCAGAAGCAGTTATATCCGCCGTTCACATTTTCACATACAGCATGATCGCCACAGACAGCTGACTCCCTGCACTCATCTATATCTGCAAATATTTGAAAAACCATTTTCTAAAATTAGTCTTCTTTACTTGCTACCTTCCCGGTAACAGTATTACAGATGGTTAGTGATTCCATATCAAATCGCACAAAAAAGAAAGGAAAATCCCATCGTTGAGGAAAAGGGAGCATAAACTCAGCTGCCTATATTTTTAACTCTAATTTGGCCAATCCATTTTGACAGAGTACTGAAAATGTTATTCATTGACCATGCTCTCAAACTGTTTTCTGAGTAGCACAGTTCAGCAAGGTCAATAAATCCATTTCCATCATCGAAGATGTAACAGTTAGTCCAAATGTAATAAAGATTCATTTTTCAAAATGCACTGAGAATTATTTGTTTGCTAGTTTTAGGCTAAGCTGATGGTAACAACTCAGTTTAAAGCAATCTGGATGATAAAGATGAATTCACTTTATTTTCAAAGCATTATTTCTGCATGTACTTTGACCTAAAACTAAAGGTTCAGCAGAACGTGTGATTCAGCTCCCTTAAAATTTACCACAATGGATTACTTTTGTTCAGATTACATTTGGACTATGATTCTAATATGCAATCAACACAGGCAGCATATGGATGAAGTGATAAATTGTACAGAATTAAGTAGGAGGCTCTCAGTAGCTATATACTGAAGCCATAATAAAAGTGGCACATTTTAAAGCTCATCATTTTTATTATTAATTTAAAATTTTCTACACTGCAGTGAAATATGCTTTAAAGTTATAAATACAATATAAATACTCTGCCAAGTATGGGAATGATTCCAAAGAACTGAAGAGTCCAGATCATTACCTTTAAATTAATGCAAAGATTTTTGTGTGTTGAGCCCAGCTCTGACATCTTAGAAATACTGTTATTAATGAATGAACCTCCAATTTTAATTTACAATTTAATTATTAGAGAAACTAAGAGGGTGGCACGGTACTGTTTGCCAGCATAAAAAGGAAGGCAGCTATTAAAGTCTAATTTAGAATGTCTACTAGCGTGTTGTCCTAAATTCAGCTGTTTCTAATTTTTCATTAACAGACTGAAAACTAGAAATCACTTGTTCTGCTGATGTCTGGCTAGTCATGACCTGTATTGTTCAGAATCAAGGGCACAACCTGTAAAGAAACACCCTTCTGGATTGGAGAGATGGCTCTATGGTTGAGAGCGCTGGGCGTTCATATGGATGATTTGGGTTCAGTTCCCAGCACCCATATGGTAGCTAACAATGGCTTATAGCTCCAATAAGCATTTTAGTAACCCCTTCGCTTCTATTAGTGAACGTGGTTGTATAATGGATATTACTTCTCTTTATATTTTAGTATTCAATCTTTAAGCATCCACACTAAGTCAAATATACCTCATCTAAGTAATATGATATATTTCAAAGGAATGACATATTGTCACATATAAGCTAATATCACAGAATTTTGCATCTGAGTAGCCTACCCAGTAAAGAAAAGAGAGACAGCACAGCAAAAGGTCCTTGATGAGGAACAAAACAAAACTGAAGTACAAATTTGAGACAGTCAAATGCTGTTCAGTGCATGATATTCTGTGTTTGAGAAATGACTAAAAATACTGTTTTTTACAATGATTCAAAAGAAGTTTCACAAATAATGTATATGTCTAAAAGTATATTTTAAAGACTTCTAAAATTTTTATTTCTGTGTAATTTTATGTGTCTGTGTGAATATTCACCACATGTGTGTGCCTAAACAGGCCAGAATTGGGCATTGTATCTTTTGGCAGTGGAGACACAGGTGGCTGGGAATCACTCATCGTGGGTACTGGGAAGTGAACTCAGGCCCACTGGAAGAGCAGTAAATGGTCTTAACCATTAAGCCATCACTTTAGCCCCCTAAAAGTAAATTTTATGAAGTGCATTGAATTAGAGAATATGTATGTGTCTATCAACCACGTGACTTGAGTACTGTGTTCCACCTACAGGCAGTGAAACATACAACATTATTAATTAATTAGTTAAATGTAAATCAGTGGGATTTTCTCTAATTCAAGGAGGATCTGGATCTCTTTTATAACATATGCTTTCTTTTAACTGGCATGGCTGTATGCTATTCAGCCTCACTTCTGACACTCTTAGAGTGTGCTGCTGATAATCTAATCCCCCCCTTTTAAAAAAGGTATATTATTGTCTGTGAGATGCTTAGCCCTAAGTGACACACATTTTCATGTAACTTCTACACAAAAGATGAATGCATTTTTCA